GATATGCGATCTTCTAATCTGATGCTTGAGTCTGCTGGTTTCGATGCCATATTGGATAAAAGGCTGGATTTGATGATGATTCGATGGTGGTTGTAAGATTTCAGGGGTTGAGTGTCTCGCTCGGTTGAGTGTCTCGCTCGGTTGGGTGTCTCGCTCGGTTGTGGATTACGTTAAGTTACCTACCTTAGGTAAGCATGTAAGGTATCGTTACCTAGCTGTAAGGTATTCTTTCATAGGTACTCCGTACCTTTGCCCTGCCTTATCGCTGCTGAAATCCTTAGATAAGCGGGCAATTGTTCCTTTGACGTATGAAAGCCCATTATGGTCTCGAGCTGCCTCACTACCTACCCTCAACCTCATCAGAATGATGATAAGCCTCTTTGGGCGTGGTTACTTCCATCCGGTATCACTTGTGCCTCTGAAGACTAGCACACAGAATGCCGAAGAGATATTTTGACAGTGCCAATACGGATCACCAGCAACCCAAGCGATCCCGCATAACTCAGGTAGATAGTGAGGATCGCCTGTCACTATTGAGCGATGAACTACTGCTCCAGATCTTGTCTTTTCTACCCATACCCTCATTACTAATATGTCAAAGGTTTTTTTTCTTGTCTCTATATTCCCTTAATCATACCTTTTTCGAATGTTCCGTGCTGGCGGCTGACGCTCTTCTTTAGGGTATCTCGTCGTTTCCATGCACTGGCCGGGGATTCGGAGCTTTGGAAAAGGCAATATTACTCTCGATGGGTTCGACCTCGAGCACGCCGACTGGCGAATATTCGACATGCTGCCCTTTCTGCGACAAGGGCAACATACTCGCCACATGTTTCAAAATGGTTGGATCATGCTCATTTAGCTGAGGAGGGCAAGGTGACGAATTGGAAAAGACAGTATCGCCTTAGGCATAATTGGTCCAAGGGAATCTGTCAAGTAACTGAAGTCGAGCTTCCCCAACCCATGCACTCGCCAATGCTGGTCAAGTTCTGCGCGGGCTTTGTCTTCACAGCAGACTCCGAGCACGGGCTGAGGTGTTGGCCTGCTAGCAACCTGATATCATGCTTGGCCAGACTTCCTCTTTTGGAGTCCGAATCAGAAACCTCAGCATTCCCTACAGCATTGGCGGTGAGCCGCTGCTTACCGCAGAATCTTGTCAAAGTAACAGTAGGATTTGCAGACGGCCGTTTCGGCGTCTACGATATGGATACTCAGACGTTATGTCTGAGACTACGCTCTTTCCACCCCGCTTCTGCCGATGGAGCAATCACCGCGATGGCCACATCGAGTTCTTACCTACTAATGGTCTCGGAGCACAAGGTTTTATCCCTGTATGAGATGTTTTTAGCGGAACCCGAACATCCAACTAGTTCCAACGCAGTGAAATCGAGCAAACAATCCTCAGGGGAAGGTGTGAAACTGCTCGCCTCTCTCAAGGCAGATAGTATCTTATCCCCAATGTCCCTGTCAGTTCGATTTGCGCGTTCGGAGATCATTACATCTATTGTTTACAGCTTTTTCCATATTGGCTGTGGCTGGTCGCTGGGGATTCAAGAACTGCATTTTGGCAAGGATGGCGAGCAGATTGGTTCTCGACTTGCAACCACCGTTGACGCTCAGTATGGAGCAATGCCACTGCATCCTCTTACTCTTTCGAGGAGGGGATATCCTTCGTCTTTTGAATCCGGACCATCAAGCGGCGAGTCTCACGTGGGACTGACAGAGCCGTCCATATTACACCAAGAACCGCCAACCTCCATTTCCTACTCCCATCCCTATCTCTTGACCTCGCATGCAGACAATACATTGACCGTGTATCTTGTCGTTTCCACCGGTGCAAAACTTTTCGTCAAGGGAGGTCAGAGGCTCTGGGGTCATACTTCATCAGTATCTGGAGTGCAAGTGAGCGACCGCGGAAAGGCGATTTCCGTGAGCTCTCATGGCGACGAAATCAGAGTGTGGGAACTCGAGAATCTGATTCCCTCACTTGGGTCTTCAAAGGCGGTAAAGGAGAACAGCATCCAGATCAATCCTGAGAACAAGTCATGCAAGAGACATGAGGGCGGGACCCTCCTGACAGGATTTCTTACGTGCCAGCTTTGCGGGCCACACTTGGCCTCTGGGCATATGTCTCGTGAATACACTCGGTTGGGAGGCTGTGTCGGGTTTGATGATGAGCGTTTGCTTCTTTCCAGTCGGAAGGAAACCGGGACACACTTGATAGAACTCTATGACTTCACGTAAATTGTTTGACCAGTGTCAAATCATCATCCAAGTCAGGCATCCTTCTTACACAATGAAACTCCTTAATGAACAGCAAGGGATTCTATTTAAAATTAGCCTTGGCTTTCAGAAAGTGGCTTTTACAACAAGAGTTCCTTGAAACACTCTTATTATATTGTAGAAGGAGAGCAGTGCAGAGCCAGTGTGCCATCAAGGCGAATCGTTCGATTGAGGACCTTGTAGACATACATCATTAAGGCAAAGTTGTATTCCACAAGGTTTCTTATCGACCGTACTCAAAAATCTCTCATCTTTCCTTCCCATTCTCATTCTATATACACAGATGTCTCTATGTGTACGGAGTACACTAATCGCTCGCCTCATCCCCTCGCCCCTTGTAGGGTCAGCTTTGAGGAATGACCGTACCGAGCTTCGACCCCAGCGAATGGCATGTTGTGGGCTCTTGCAATAATGAAGCCTGCTAGAGCATTTTTTTGGTGCTGAATCGAAGCACTCACTGGGTATACACAATGCATCAGGATGAGTTCTGAGTCCAGCGATAAGATTGATCACAATACTACTCAATCAGAACCGTGAATTGCTTCAGAATGGCGCACTCATGCCATCGCCGGCTGGCAAGGCTTCGACGTCGTCTCAAGTCCAGTATTCCAGGTTTCCCACTCAATATATTCTCCTTCACCATCGTGCCCCTCGCATACAACCCTCCTATCGAATATCCTCCAAAACTTCGACCTCGTCGAAGAGGCATTGTCAGCGAATGCCATTGTGTCTGCGTCTTACCTCGCCAAAAAAATACCTATGGGTCGGCTGCCGTGGCTTTCCTGCCCTGATCCATTTTGTCACATGGTTGCTCCAGAATTATTGGAATACGGTCATTCTCAAGCATCACAAAGCCCTGTCTTTGGATTTGAGAGGAGCCATTGTGGACTGTGGAGTCTTCTACTCCGTAGCGAAGCTGACTCCCAGTTAAAAGTCTAGCCAGGAACCACGCACGGGAAGCACTCTTTTCCACCCCGCACCAGGTAGCATATCTTTCTTGCTAACATTTATTATTCTTTTTTTTTTTTTCCCTGCGAAATACCAATCAATCAATCTCTGATCACCTTCTCTCAATCTCTCCTGAAAGTCCATACAACAAACTCAGCCTTCCTATCTTCACCCTCATATCATCAAAAATGGAATATCAAGCTGGAGGTCGTGGATGCTTCAACTGTGAGTCCTTGCATATTTAACAAGAAAATTTCTGCGACTGTCAATTTGTGCGTACTGCGCTCTCACCCAAATCTATGTCATTGTCTATACTTCTCTATCCATTGCATTGTTCATATTGAATGCTTCAATGTGTCCAAGGAAGTTGCTGGTCGCACCAGCCTTCTACTGACACATTCATCGTCCCCTCACCCGCGTTATTCATGCTTTTATCGCATTTCGCTTTATGCGCATTCTTGAAATCTCAGGCTTCTGCTCTTCTGAAAAATGGAAATTGAGAAATATGATAGACTAACAACCTTATTTCATAGGCGGCGATGCCTCGCATCAGGTAAGAGTTCCCTCAATTCACCAGAAACATGGATTTGCATTTTTTGCCCTTTCAGCAAGTATGTAGGAGAAGAGAAACTCATCCTGTTAGGCTCGCGATTGTCCTAAGAGGGGAACTCCTACTTGGTACGTCCCTTCTCTCCGTCATAAAATAGACAGTGTCTAATGCTTCTTTTGCCAGCTATAACTGTGGCGGTATGTCATTACCCTCTGCCTATACCTTTCCGCGTTTTATGTTTAGGCAAAAAAAATTTTAATGACATCGAGCAACAATAGGCCAGGGCCATGTCAGTAAGTTGATCTTCATATGCCGTCGTGGATTGATGGATAATTGGTTGACCGATGACATTCCCTTCTTTTTTTAGGCCGCGAGTGTACAGTAGCCCCCAAGGAGAAGTCCTGCTACCGCTGCGGTGTTGCTGGACACATTTCTCGCGAGTGCCCCCAGGCTGGTTCGGGCGATAACTACAGTGGTGCTCCCAGCGGCGGCCAAGAATGCTACAAATGCGGTCAAGTCGGCCATATCGCACGCAATTGTTCCCAGGGTGGCAACTATGGAGGCGGTTTCGGTCACGGAGGATACGGCGGTCGCCAGCAAACTTGCTACTCATGTGGTGGCTTTGGCCACATGGCTCGCGACTGCACTCATGGTCAGAAGTGCTACAACTGTGAGTATCGTCGATCTTCTTCTTGCGCTTCTGGTTGAGTAACAATGATCGTAGGTGGAGATGTCGGACATGTATCCCGCGACTGCCCCACTGAAGCCAAGGGTGAAAGAGTTTGCTACAAGTGCAAGCAACCTGGACATGTCCAGGCCGCTTGCCCCAACTAGTTGACACATATCACGGGTCGTCTGTCTTCAATATCGCGTTAGTACACACAGAATCATTGATCGGAGATGTCATTCTGGCCAGTCCGAGATTCTCGGGTGGTGTGAAGTCTCCCTTTATGGTGAGGTTGCGACCTCGCTCACCAATATGGTTCCCGGCTTCTCCGTCTTTCCCAAGCTTCGGTCGGCATTATATCGAATTGATGTTCACCTACGCCGAATCGCTTTAACGGTTCTTTATCCCTCAGTTCCAAGCAGGGAGATGCCGACTGTAAGAAATTAGCAGGAGGTAAGGTTGCAGGTGGACAAGGTGTGATAAACTCGTTGGTGTGATGCAGAAGATCAAGGAAATATCCACAGCTTTGTAGCTTTTAAAAGGCAGTCTTTCACGATTTTCAAACCTCTCAATGTCTCTCCTCGATCAGACGCCTTTGTCCACGTTGACTATGATGATCCTTGACTAACCTTTATGACCGAAGTCAAATAGAGTCGGAGTAGGTGCTGATCGGGCTGTATTGGAAGTCATCTAAATATTATATCTGTCTGCACCTATTTGTGTATGCTCTAATGCGTCGTAAATATTAAAGGGCTGAAAACGGGACTGTTCAGTGGTGACAATGACCAGCTCTATGGTACATTCAAAACTTCATGATCTTAGCTATGGTCTTTGAGACGGGTCATGACTCCTGTCCCAATCAGTTCATATCTTCCAAAGAGGCAACGTGCATATACCCAAATAATGCAGCGAGGTCTTGAACATGTCCATGATCAAAAATATCCGATGGTGTGCAGTAGAGTATATATGATCAACTATTATTTAATGCAGAAGCCAGCAATGAGTGTCAAAAACTTGAACTTAATGGAGTAGCGTCTCATGAGCTGCAGCTACACATCATGGCTCTCTTGTATCTGGGAACATCGCCGCAAAAGCGTTCCTCTTCATCTTTGTTCAAGCCCCATGAATTCCTGAAAGGATCGAGAGCCATTTGCATGACATGGTCAAGGATTTTTCGATCCCCTCTTTGCTCTACACGTTCAATGACTTCATCGAGAATCCATCCGCGAGGTATGAACTGTAGCATGTACATGTCAGCGAGGCAAGAGGCGTCAATACCGTGGAGAGGGTGTGAGCAAGGTACAGAAAGCATAAAAGGAACAAACTTGAAGTGAGAGGAAAGAGACACTTTGGACCCACCTTCGGATTGACTGCATTCATAGCTTCCTGTCGGTCTGCATCTTTTTCAATGCCCCAATCTTCGAGGATTCGAGATCTCCAAGCCGCGAGCCACTTGGCTATGCGCTCTTTTGCAGACTGTTCTGTGTAGCCAATACCGCCGAACCCTTCATTGTGAAAGAAGATGGGTGCCGTGTCCACTCGTTGCTGGTCACTTTCGATATCAGCAAGCGCTACGTTGGAGAGTCGCCTGAAAAAGTGATTGAAATCAAGCTCTAGGGCTTCCAATGTATCCAACATCTCTGAGAACAGTTCCTGGAAATCAGACTCTTTCTGAGTCTTCAATCCTAGCCTGCAACTCATCAAGCGTTTATATTCGTTCAGAAACACGCTCCTGTATTCATCACCGGCCCGTTCAATGATGGTCTCAGCGCGTTTCACGACAGCTGGTGCGGTTTCCTCGGTCAACCCATCTTTCAAGAACCACTCTTCATCGACCTTGTCCCCGGCACCAATCAATTCCCCTAGAGCCTCTCCGAGTCGAACCAGGTTCCACCAGATGATGGTTGGTTGATTCTTGTAGGAATATCTCAACAGGTGGTCGTCATGGTTTGGGGTATACTGTGGGTCAAAATTGTCCATAAAGGCGAATGGGCCAAAATCAAGCGATAGGCCGAAGATCGAGGTGTTGTCCGTGTTAAGTACGCCATTCATAAAACCATAAGCTTGCCAGGCAGCCACAGTTTTCGCGTTGCGACGCACTATCTCGCGGTATAGTCTTGCAAATCTGTTTTCTGTTACACCCTGGTGTTCCTGTGCATGGTCTCGGGGAATGCCTCTGGCAGGATTATCCACGGCGTCTGTGGAATGGTCCCGGCCTAAGGATACAACACCTGGCAGGGTTTCCCATCCCCCAAAAACATCCTCGGCGGTAAACGTCGCTAGCTTTCTGATGAGATCTCGGTCCCCACGCGCATGCGGCAGATCAAAGCTCCCAATTCTGAGCCAGGTCTCGGCGAATCGAGCCACAATAGCACCAGGCTCAATGCGCTCACGCAGAACCTTTGACTTTGGAAGCAGAGTGATTGCCAAAGCTCGGGTGCTTGGCACACCAAGAGCGGATAACGCTAGGAATGTCATGGGCTATAATTCCGAATTCATGAATATATGACGCTTACCTTCTGACACAACGTACTCGCGGATGCTCGACCGAAGAACAGCTTTGCCATCAGCGAAGCGTGAATATGGCGTCTTTCCAGCTCCCTTTAATTGGAGTTCAAATCGGCGCTTCGTTTCAGGATTGGTGCACTCGAACAGGCTAATCGCACGCTGACGAAGGTCAATTTCTCTCGCTAGAAGTTCAATCTATGGAATTTCAGAGCTTACTCCATCCCCGAGTTGCCCGGCCCAGGAGCCGCTGTGCCTGGTCAACACTAATCAAGAAATCTAATTAGGAAA